TATATGTGTCCATTTACCTAACATGGTCATGTTCACCGTAATTATATGTATCTAAAATATACTCAATAGTCTTATTACGATACCGAATACTCCTTAATTATAACAAAACGTGTGTCTGTATAATATTTATGATTGTATTTCACTTAAATGTGTGTCTCTGTACGATAGGCTATAGTCACAAAAATTGTTTTCTTTTTGTGACTAATTATTAGCAATTCTCCACTTATGGAATTAATTATATGTGGCCATTTAGCAAACATGGTCATGCTCACCGTAATTACATGTTTACAAAAGATACACAATAGTCTTAACAAAATTTAAATTGTGTGACAATATAAAAGAAAACAACTACACTAACACATCATGAATGTCGCAAGTTGGTGATATACAGTCACCACAGTTACTAAATAAAGGTGTCTATTGACGGTTTAATGCTACAATATTCGATATTTAAGGAAATAAATTCCGTACAAATTTGCCACAATTTTATAATACGGCCACATGTTTTCATTTCATACGGACACTACATTTTAAAGTGGCCATAAGACCCATACGATGGCGTCACCTTCCGTCACACTTTCAGTGAAAAAATAAAATGTCACATATGCATATGGTCACACTTTTTTGGTGTGACTGTAAGTCATTTTTCTTGTAGTGAAATCAGGATATCTAATCCAATGGGCCGACATAGGTGCCTTCGACCCATAAGTACAGTGAGGAAAACTCACCTTCAGTCTGACAAATAGGTGAACAATACAATGCTCCGAATACCGGCTCTATAGGTCACCTATTCAACAGATAAAGACCAAGGCTTAAGTATAACTCATAATACCCAAAATACCCTTAAGGCAAACTTGGTCAACCATGGTCAGAGTCAAAGTTAACGGGCAAGGTCCAAAAGTCAATATTACTTCCCAGCAGAGTACGCCCTACGTAACAAGAGAGTACGCCCATCGTACTCTAATGTTGACCAAAAGCGGGGCCCTGACCATGTACGTGCAAGGTACCTCTAGGTACGCGTAACGTACCTGCATAGTCCTAAAACTCGATTAAGAGCTTATTCCATTAAGCCCTTCCGTCCACAACTCAGATCCAAGCCCAAGTTGATGTCCTAAGTCATAAAGTTTCCAACTTTATGGCTTTTCATAGCTATAAGGTGCTTAATGTCCAAAACCCTACGTTCTTAACCCAATAAGACCATCTAACAGATGCATGTGTTACATACAATACTCAAGATCATATTTTTATGCACAACAATACTCTGAAATGACAAAAAGGACGGCTCCTATGACTTAGAGTAACCTATACTAAAAATGCCAAACTAATGGGACCAAAATGTTCACAACTTCAAGGCTAACAAGATCTTAAACAAATCATCATCAAGTTCAGAGCTTTTTACCTTAAAATGATGCCAAATGGTGATGAGATTCTGGATCTAAGGTGCTTCACTCTTCGAAGGTGGCAATCTCGTCTTCTCCTTCCTTCTTAATCACCAAAAGTACCCAAAAAAAGCTCAAGAAGACTCTTAAAGAGGATTAGGGTTCTAGATGAACGAAATGGCAAATGGAGGATGAAGAGGGGATGATAAATAAGGAGTTAATGATGTTTATATATGGACCAAACCCTAAAAATTAGGGTGTGAGGATCCTTCACGTACTCCTTGCGTACGCGGTGTACGTCCAACGTACTAAGGCCCGCATATGTACGCCTAGCGCACACAACGTACGCCCATTGTACTAAGCATTGGCCTAAGTTTACAAAAATGCCACTATGGGCCATTTTGCAAGCTTTCTCTTACACAAGGGCTAAAAAAACATAAATCTTCATACTTAAGAGTTAATTTTGGAAATACCTTAATGTCGGGATGTTACCGTTCTTGTTTTGTCAAGTCATTGTATTGTACAAATGATCGAAGAAGGTTGAACTTTAAGAAAGTTCAAGAGAATGTGAGGAAGGATGTTGAACGGGCTTTTAACGCTTATAAAAACGTTGGCATATATTGAAATACCCCACAATTTTTTGTTGCCGGGAAGAAAATGAGTGACGTGATGTATACCTGTATCATATTTCATAATACAATTCTCGAAGACGTAGTAAATACAATATGTGAGTATAATGAAAACAAGATCGTTTCGCCGACACAAACATTTGAGGTTGGAAGCGACGGGTACTTGGCAAGAAAAAAATAATAATTCATGATGTTATGATCCATCATGATCTTCGAAGAGACTTTGCGGAACATATTTGGATCATTGACCACATCGATCTTAACGTTGAACCGGTCGATAATTTAGAAGGTCAATTTTTCGATGAAGAAGTCCTTTAGGTTTATCTATATTTCATATTTTAATTTATAGATTTCTAAATTTTAATTTCTATGCTTTGTATTTTTAAATTCTATGTTTTTCTTGTTTACGTTTTTTGTAATTTTCTTTAAAATTTAATGAAATTTTAGTTTTAAAATAGTTTTTTAAATTGATTATTTTTAATATAAATTATTTTTAGAAAAAATAAATAGGATGTCAAATGTGACAATCCAAACCTTCTAAATAACAAACTTTTGTAACAAGATGTCAAATACTAAGTAATCGTTACTATGATAAATATGACACTATCTCTTTTAGCCTAATAGCATATTTTCTAGTAATGAACGAGGGCAACGGTTCAATGAAATATCCAAATGTTCAGCCATAACCTAATGAAATCCTCATCCCTTGATCTTCACAAGGAATTATTAAGCGAGAAGTTAAGAGGTAAGCAGAGATTTGTGTAGGCCTAAAATCCTACCCCAAATACCACCTTACTACGGGTAATAAAAACAACTGACTGTTGTTTTTTTTTTTTTTTTTTTTTTTTTTTTTTAAATAAATCAACAAAAATTTGTATATTTCTTTTATTTATAATTTCTTGTAAGTGACCCAGTACTGTTATTGGCCGAGTCTATAAAATTCTAGAGTAACAACCCAAGTCGGCACCTTATGAATTGAATACATCTCTCTCTCTCTCTCTCTCTCTCTCTCTCTCTCTCTCTCTCTCTCTCTCTCTCTCTCTCTCTCTCTCATCATCAGCATATGACATGCATCACCTTTGTCTCCAATGCCTTTAAATCAACCTTTGGGGAAATTAACAAGGAAACAATAACGTTTTCATCGACGAAGACGAAAGAACAAGAAACATCTCCATACAAACTTCCCTTGTCCTTAGCCTTTCTTTAGCATTTCCTAAATCCTTCGTTTTTCACTTCTACTTCTGAAAATATATCGCAAATAAGCCCCAAATCCATCCATCGCTAGCTTCATTCACGTTTTTGTGCACTTGGGTTTTGTATTTAACCAATAAAACGTGAGAAATACATCTTGATTATCTTTTACACTCTCCAATATTTCTTGAAAAGTGTGAACTTGTAATTGACAGCCATGGAAAAATCAGAACCACCATTTCAGGAATTCTATAAGAACTTATTCACTAACCATGAAGCGTGGAAAGAGAATGAGAATGGCATTTTTGATGACGTGGAAGAGTGGGAGTTACCATTGATCGATCTCAGCAGATTGCACCATGGTGGGTGGCAAGGTGCAGATTGCAAGAGAGAGATAGCTGAGGCATCACAAAAATGGGGATTTTTTCAAGTCATAAATCACGGTGTTTCGTCGGATATTTTGGAAAAAATGCAATGTGAACAAATGAAGGTGTTCCGAAAGACGTTTTATGAAAAGGCCAAGAACCACCGTGAATTGAATTTTCCGACGGGCAGTTACAGGTGGGGAACTCCTTCTGCAACTTGTTTGAAGCAGCTTGCGTGGTCTGAAGCTTTTCATGTACCACTGACTGATATCTCAAACATGGGTGGCTTCACTACTCTCAGGTAGTTCCTACAACCATATAGTTTTTAATATTTCTCAATTCATATAGAAAGTTTTCGATACGAAGTAATGAATCTATACAAATGGTAATAAGTAATAACATAATCTAAAAAGTGTCGTGAATGAATTAAATCCTTTAAATTTTAATTGTTTTTGTTTCAAAAGTTCTATACCCAGGAAATAATAATCGTGGATGGCGATTGAAAGTTAAGTACTCTTGTTTAATCGACTAGTATGTGCTTTATGATACTTTATTAAAAGTTCAAACTGATATCATCGTTAATGTCAAAATCAATCGGATACTATTCGTAAATGTAATATTTAAACATATTTAAAACAAAATTCAGTTTATCTAAAAGGTCGGTTTCACATAATGTTCAGCAGCAGCACTGCTGGCTTCCGTGTATACCGTGTAAAAATTTTAGAATTTTTTTTTCTATTAATATGAAGTTCTAGGTCCAATCCTATTTATCGGTATAATTCTTTTTAAATGTTATTAATAATGCTGAAAACTTGACGTATACAATTGACTGTTTTGACATGTGATAAAGAAGCGAATGAGAGAAGTCCCCATTCACCAAATTCAATGATATTTCAATACATAGAATCATAGCGCAGAAAGAATAACTATTTAGTCGGCAAGTTGACGCATAATAAATCTGGTCATGTATATCATTAA